GGCATATTTTGAACCTGGCTGGTGTGTCACATTGGTTGCTGCCACATACTAGAACTAAGAAGTAGATGTAGATATTTGTCTTATTTAGATATGACAGATATAGTATACAGAATAGGTGGATATAGAATATGATTAGATAAGATCAGATTTCAGGAGTGAAGATGCACAGTATATATTGATCAGACATACATGATTATTAGTCGCATCTAGAGATAGTAGTTTATAGTGTAGAATTATTGATAATTAGTAGCGATATGATATGAGTAATAGATAAGAATTATGGTTAGATTTATCATTTTGAATGAATAGATAAGGATAGGATGTAGGATTTGTATCACTGATTTAAAAGGTGAGATAAAAGGTGAGTAGGTATTCTGGTTATATGGGAGTATTAAAGTATGCTGTGATAGTATTTGGTTATTGTTGTATGTCAAATTTCATCGATTGTTTATTCTTAATGAAGGAGATTTTTTTTATGTAAGTTATGTACAGGATGCCTACTCCCACAGTCATCGTCAATATGGACATATGAAAATTGCTGAAGGAGAACTTGAACTGATTGTTATAGTATATATATTATAATTCTTAAAAGCAGCATATAAAAATGAGTGACTATTTTATTTTAATTACTGCTATAGAAACCTTCTAGGGATATCATGCAAATTTATTTATCTTTAGGGTGCTATATATTTCTCTATTTGTCAAATGTATGACAATTGCCATCAGATAGCATTACTATGCATATCTCGCCAGTATTCTTACTCATACCTCAGTTAGCATGCTCACTAGGTTACATATATGTGATGTATATACTGTATAAGGAATTAAGTATTGATATATATGTAGGCTTGCATGCATCACTCTAATAATTAGTGACATGGAATGACTGTCTCACATATAGGTGTACCACATACGCTGAATTGTATGTATACCATGAATGGTAAATATATGCTACATGTATCAACCTACAGAGGTCATTGTGTGACGCTGTATAATAGTTGCATGAATGTATGTTACCATGATTTAAACTACACATAATCTGGATGGCATTGTTGATTTGTGTGTCTGTGTTGTGTTTATTGTGTTCTCTCTTCTCTGTCTCTCAGGTCTCACTTATCTATTATTTATACTCTAGTTTTATCACAGCTCTCTAGTCAGAACAAAGAATCAGATAAGGAAGAAGGGGTAGAAGTAGACTCTTCAGTAGAGCAATCAACAAGTCTACTGATGAGATTCTCTTGTGGATACACTAGAAGGATAGTTAGATGTAGCTGTGTTGTTGTGGGCTGTGTTGTTGGATAGAGATGGGGATGTGATGTCTGTTGTGTGTGTGCTGTTGTTTTGTGGGTGATAGTGTGTGTCCGTAGATTGTGTAGTCTAGCTGTGTGCATTTCGTAGATGTGGGACTTTTGCTGTGCGATCGCCTGTGCTTAGTATTGGCTGATACGAATAAATTGTGGCTTGCTGAGGGCACTCATATAGATAGGTGTTACGGTTGGGGTGTTGTTATTGAGGGTTGGTTGTTGCTGGGATTGTGGTGGAGGGTGGTTCATATGAGATAAAGTTAGCGGGCATTGTTGTGATATGTGTTGTGTGATTGTGTGTGAGGATTGTGTTGGTTGATTATTGTGGTGCTGTAGTGATGGGTGTTCTGAATTAATGATAGGGTAAGCGCTTAAGAAGTTGTCGGTGTGTGGATGATTGGAATTTGTGGAGGTGTGTGAGTATAATGTAGGTGTATGGATACCGTGTTTTGTGTGTTCAGTTGTAGAGATTGTGGTAGATGGATGTGGTGATTGTAGTTGACTGTCGTGTGTGTCGCTCGCTGGTAATAGATGCTCGGCTCGGTTCTGAAAATGATGAAATACGTATGTTGTGTGGAATTGTCTTTGAAGCTCTCGCTCGCTCTTTTGTGTGGGCGATGCTTGGGTCTAGTTGATAATTGAGATAGATGGGCTATGGGGATGCTGTTGGTTGTTTGTGTGTGTCTTTTCTGATTTAAGAGATATTTGATGTGTTGATGGTGTGTTACGTTGGGTTAGGTGCTTTAGGTGACTGGTGTGTGTGATATGTTGGATAGATGTTGTGCTAACAGTTGTGTCCGTAGATCTACAGCGTAGTGGTCTGTGTCAGTGATGTGTGTTTGTTAATTGCATCTGTGTTTAGTTAGTAAAGATTAGTGTGGGTTGCAAATGGGCTAATTGTGATGTGTCGATCTCGTTGATGTGTGTGTCAGTGTGTGTCGTGTTCGTGTTGTTTTCGCTCGTAGTTGGCTATATGCTGTTGTGTTGACTTGTGTATGGGACATTTATTGTAGATAGAGAAACTGCTCGTTGGAGGAGGGTATGTTAGCTAGAATTATTTTTGATATGTTGGCTTTGAGATTTAGTGTAATAGGCGATGTGTGGGCCTATCGTAATGATGATAGATGGGGATTAAGTATTGTTTATTTTGTTTGGTTGTATATCTTTTAATGTGGCATTATATGTTAATTTATAACCTCCCTCCCCACCTGCATTATGATATATGTACTCTAGGTTAGCTTGGGACTTTTTTAACTATTGAGTGTTTTGCTACTATAGTATATTAGCTAATCTACACATTATTTCTCTCACATTTTCATTTGTCTCATTGAGTATCATTGCATCTCATAAAAGTTACTTAAATAAGTTTATTTTTTATATATATTATATGTAAATAATTATTCTAATACTAATTAGATTTTAGGAGGAAAAATAACAGAGATATATATATAAAGAATTTTGTAACAGCTGCTAAAATATCTATAATAAAATGTTATTGTTTATTCTTTTCGGTTATTACTTACCTAACTCTCATTTAATTTTTATGTAGTGATTACAAACTGCAGAATATTTTGTTGAATTTTGCTCTCTATAAAGCTAAATTATTAGGAATCCCTATGAATAATGAGCTATATGTAATTAATTGCATACCGATTTTTGATTTTGGACTGTTTTATTTATTAAAATATATTCTTTTAACGTTTAATAATAATAGATAGACTAAAGAATAGTATCATCATATTATATCTACTATAGTAACAATGTCCCATATATATACGCGCCAAAAAAAGGGGGGGATATTTAAAAAAATCGAGCTATAAATACTAATATCAACGGCCTTAGGCTAGGATAGATTTAACATATTAATTTTTAGGGATTGTTCAGGAAAAAACTGTGGGAGTGGTAATGTACCAAAGAAGGGGGAAAATTTTTTTTTTTTTTTTTAGACTTTTATTGGGTGTGTGCCCCCCTCCTCCTATGGGGGTGCGAGGTCTAAATTATATATGAAACGAATCGCAATTCTATACTCTATATTACGCAAAAAGAATCAATGAGTTATCTCCAACCAATTTGTATTATGATGAAATGAGTAGGGAAAGGTGGTCATTCTCCGTGACAGGGACAGTCCCCTTAAAAGCAAACCTGGAACTTCTCACTTTCAGTCTCAGAAGCTGCTATCATGTTAGACTGAACATGGTAGTGAGCAGTTACTGGATATAAAAACAATCTTTCATAACCCGTCACATTGTATTGTATTTGTGTGTGGAGTAACTTTCATAGATGTAAATTTTTTTTATGACAATTTTAAAACCAAAGTGAAAGTATATGGAATCTTCTGGCCATAGAACATTTTGAAAACTGCTTTTTATCATCTTTCCCTCCTGCCTCTTTTACCTCCCCCTCCTAGCAGGTGTTGCAGATTCATACATCAAGCTGTCCACGGGCTTGTCTCAGTTGGGGACGATTGAGGGCCCAAGACTAGAAAAGTTTATCAACAAAGTGTCAGACACCTTTGAGAAAGCTAGGGTAAGTTGTCTTTGTTGATATCAGATATTCGGTCTTAAAGAAATCATTTGAATGGAAACCATCTATTACATATCTTTCATGGTAACAAGATTGATTTGATAAGTATCTCTTGTATGTTTCCTGATAGAAAGTGGAAGGCCGGGTAGCCTCAGACGAGGATCTCAAGTTATCTGATACGCTTCGCTATTATGTGCGGGATGGGAGTGCAGCCAAGGACCTTCTCTACCGACGTTTGCGATGTCTTGCGAACTATGAACAGGCCAACAAAAATCTTGACCGTGCAAGGGCCAAGAACAAGGATGTCCATGCTGTGAGTGTGCACTCTGTCCCTCCCTCTGTGTGGCCTATGATAATAGCTGATGCTTGAGCTGTGATTTATCAT